GGGAGGCTTGGGATGGGAACAGGAGAAACCAAGCACCTCTTCTTCTCTGCCTTAGACTGTGGGCTCCGCTCCTACATCAGGAAGTCACGGATTGTCGGTGGGCAGAACTCAGATGTGGGAGAATGGCCATGGCAGGTCAGCCTGCACGTCAAGGGCCAGGGCCACATCTGTGGGGCCTCGCTGGTGTCGGCGAGCTGGCTGGTGTCAGCAGCACACTGCTTCCTGCCACTCCAAGGCATCAGGTACCTGCCTCATATCCATGTGCTTTCACGTATTTCATAGAATCACAGAATAAGCTGAACTGGAAGAAACGCTCAACAATCATCAAGTCCAGCTCCTGGCCCTTCACAGCACCATCCCCAAGAGTCACACCCTGTTCCCGAGAGTATTGTCCAAATGCTTCTTGAGTTCGGTCACACTTAGTGCTGTGACTACTGCCCTGGCGAGTCTGTTCCAGTGCCTGACCACCTTCTGGGGAAAAGAGGCTTTTCCTGATATCCAACTTAAACCTCCCCTGACACAACTTCAGACTGTTCCCTCTGGTCCTGTCACTGGGCATGACAGAACAGACATCAGAGTCTGCCCCTCTTCTCTCCCTCACAAGGAAGTTGTAAGTGCAATGAGGTCTCCCATCAGTCTCCTCTTCTCCAGGCTGAACAGGCCAAGTGCCCTCAGCTGCTTCTTATACAGCTTCCGTTCAAGGCCCTGAACCATCTTCACTGCCCTTTGGAAACTCTCTAATAGTTTAATATTATTCTTATAGTCTTATTCTTTATTATTATTCTTATACTATTGTTCTTATTTTTCGTTATTATTCTTATATTGTGGCAATCAAAACTGCACACAGTATTCCAACTCCCATTCTGAGAGGCATTCCTCAAGGGAAATGTTTAAGGTGGTGAGTGGTGCTGACTCCAAGATGAGGTCTCATCCTGTGTTTCATGGCCCCCAAGCAGGTACTCAGACCCCAGCCTATGGACAGCCTACCTGGGGCTGACCGACCAAGGTGACCTCAGTGGCCCCAACGTGCAAACCCACAAAATCAAGCGCATCATCTCCCACCCCTTCTTCAATGACTACACCTATGACTATGACATTGCTGTGCTGGAGCTGCAGAGCCCTGTCACCTTCACGGCCGTCATCCAGCCCATCTGCCTGCCTGATGCCACCCACAACTTCCCTGTGGGCAA